TTCAGTCAACCTGGACATGAGTTTTTGGTTTGCAGGTTGAAGAAATCCTTATATGGGTTGTAACAGTCTCCAAGACAATGGTATAAACAGTTCAACTCCTATATGATTAAAATTGGCTACAAGCGATGTGAGTATGATTGTTATGTTTATTTTAAGAGCCTTGATGATAGTTCTTTTATTCATCTGCTATTGTATGTTGATGATATGTTAATAACTGCAAAGAATATGCATGATGTTGTTGGTTTGAAAGCTTTATTGAGCCAGGAATTTGATATGAAAAACTTAGGTGTTGCAAATAAAATTCTTGGAATGGAGATTCACAGGGATAATGGCTCAAGGAAACTGTGGTTATCTCAGCAGGGCTATGTTGAGAAAGTGTTAGATAGGTTTGGGATGAGCAATAAAAAGTTGGTAAGAACTCCATTAGGAAATCATTTTAGGTTTTCTTTAGAACAAGTCCCTAAAATAGATAATAAAGTTGTTGACATGGAAAAGGTTTCATATATCAGTGTTGTTGGTTGCTTGATGTATGCAATGGTATGTACCCCTGATTTTGCTCATGTTGTTAGTCAAGTTTGTAAATACATGTCTAAACCAGGTAGGAGACATTGGGAAGCACTCAAGTGGATTTTAAGGTATTTGAAGGGCACTGTAGGGAATGTAATTGTTTTTGGTAGTTAGCAGGATAATCATTTGGTTGTAGGATATGTGGATTCATACTTGGATGATAGAAGATCTACAACTGGTTATGTTTTTACTCTTCGTGGAGGGCCTATATGTTGGAAGTCAAATTTTCAATCCATTTTGGCATTATCTATAACTAAAGTAGAATACATGGCAGCAGCTGAAGCTGCAAAAGAAGCTTTATGGCTTACTGGGCTAGTAAATGAATTGGGTATTCAGCAAGCTGGAGTTCAATTGAATTGTGGCAGCCAAAGTGTTATTCATGTGACTAAAAATCATGTGTATCATGCTAGAACTAAGCATATTGATGTGAGGTTTCACAAGATTAGAGAGTTAATTGCATCTCGAGAGATATTGTTACAGAATGTTCATACTAGTGAGAATACATGTGATATGTTGACCAAGCCAGTTACTACTAACAAGTTTATGCTTTTCTTGGACTTGTTGAACGTTTACAGTTGCTAGAGAAGCATGGTAGCCCAACCCACTTTGATGTTTGATAAACTTTTGATTTTCTATTTTATCTCTTAAGGGGCAGGATATTCGCCAACGTGGAGATTTGTTAGGTATGGCTCATATACCAGTTGGAGGATAGATACTGGAACGAGGTGAGTGAAGCGAACGTAGCAATCAACATCTGTCCATTGTAGAAGTTTCGTTACTGTTTGTGGGCTATGATTAAGTGGGTTGGGGACGATACATGGTATTTTTGTAATTGTATCGGGGTTACTCTTATATACTGTAACTGTAACCTAATTTTGGATTATTGCGAATAATAAAGAGAACAACCGCTCATCACACCCGAGGACGTAGGCACATTGTCGAACTTCGTTAAATCTTGTGTTCTTTATTTTCTTTACTACTTTTTGATTTCCTGAGTTAATTAGCCTGATTTCACAACAAAAAGGCTTTCTTGCTATTGGAACTAAATTATTTATACAAATTTTAACCTTTTTTTTATCTCAGACTTATAACAACTATATGACTCATTATATTGTAAACGTTTACCAGGTAGGGAAATTTTTGTATTAACCATATGGAGGAAATGTTTCACTTTTGATTAGTGTATAAGTTTTGCTTTTGCTTGCTAAGCCTCTTGTGTGGTAGTCAAAATCCAGATTTGTCCAGGCTGAGGAGAGAATGAGAGAAATTGGAGAGGAAGAAAAAAGAGGAGAATAGAGAGAATGGAAAAAAGAGAAAAATATTTTTATAAAGATTTAAAATGACATCGTTTTAATCTAAATTTACTTTTGTGTGGGATTCAAAAATGAAGTTAGGATGACGTTGTTAATTATTTAACGAGATACCAAAATATGAATAACTTGAAAGTTGAATGATTAAATTTAAAATTTTTAAATTTAAGTGATCAATATATGAGTAAAAAAATTGAGCGATAAAAAATAATTTACCCATATAATTAATATGAGATGTTACCTTTTTATATTAACAACAACACGCTCCTTTTAAATCCTTACATGGTTGAATAGGGGGGGGGGGAATAAACAATGTTGAAGTAGTGGACAAAGTCCTTCTCCAATATGTTCCAATAGATGGCTAGTTCAAAAAAAAAAAAAAAAGATGGGATTTGATTACTTTCAAACAAAAAAAAGAGATCTTCTGCAGTAACATTTATGTTTTATCAATCAGAAGTTTGAATCTAATCAAAGAAGAAGAAAGAGATAGCTCACTCTACCTCTAATGCTAAGTTTTTCTCTACTTTCGTCGTCGATAAAATCTCTAACATTATTTCAAGATATCATCAACTTCTTCTTTTTCCACTTTTTCATGGCTTATGACTGTGTTTTTGTTTCCTTGTTTGGTTGATGGAAAACGAATAAAGATCTAATGAAATTTTGTTTAAATCAGAGAAAATAATATCTGAAATCAATTTAGAATTGTTCTGGAAAAAATATTTTAGACATGTCCATGTTCATAATTCAATAATTATTTAAAATCATCGATGTCTCATATAGGGATATAAAAAATTGATCCGACTTGTAAAACTGACTGAAATCGATTCAAGTCAAAATTGTTTGTGACCTAGGATGGTGGTGATTTGAAATCGATTCGAGTCTGAATTGGTGTTGACTTGAACCCAAATTGGACCTGAAAATTTTGGATCTACACCCGATCTACACCGACCTAAGAACGATTTGAATCTAAATTGAACCGATAATATGATAATCGAACCAAACCGACATAGGACCTGATATGAACCTAAACTTGTGATTAACCTGGTAAATAAATGATATTGTCCGACTTGTTATCAACTTAACATGTTATGAACTTGACTTGTAATTGACTCAACCTGTAAATATACTTGTTATTGATTTGATATGATATTTACCTAACTTGATTTTTATCTGACTTGTAAGTTACAATTAATGAAGTTATGACATTTTAAATTTATAATATTATAGTATGATAAAATACGTCTTTACAATTAAAAGTATATGAAAAACTATGATTAATAATTTAATGTGTTTACTTTTTATATTTATAAATTGTAATATATAAATGTACTAAAAATCTATTAAACAATAACTTATGATTGATGATGATTTAACAATCCAATGATCTAAGAAAAATAAATCAAAACATTAGTGATAAAATTATTTCAATTTATAGTTGAGTGACCAACGTGAAATAAACACTAAAATTTAATGATTGATGGTGTAGTTTACCCATATAAATATTATATAACTAAATGGAGTTAGATTTAAAGTAAATCTTAAGCCATGTTTACGTTATTCCCCCCCCCCCTAAATTTAACTTTCCAATTTACTTTTAATTTTTATGAGAGAAAGTTAATTGTTTGATTTAATTTTTAAGAACAAAGTGACCTTCGTGATAAAAAAACTGTTGTATTCTTTGAAGACTCGGGTTCAAGTACCATAGATACTAGGAGTGTGAGTGTTTAATATCAAAAGATTGAAAGTTATCTTTTAATACAACTTCCTTATATTTACCTCATATTAATAGAAAAAAATAATATAACTTTTAATTAAAAAGTTCAAAATTTTTTAATATATATGATGAGATAATTTAATTCATTTTATTTTTTAATTTTAGAAATTTGTTAATTTTAATCCTTTTAAAACTAATACAACATTTTTTTGAAAATGACCAAGATATTTCATTTATCGAAAGTCATATCAACAAACGTATTGTCAGTTACAGACTGAACAAATACAGTTGTGACTATCATAAATAAAATATAATAATAATCGCTTAGTGATAGTATGATAAATAAAAACATTAACAAGTGAAGTAACGACGTACATAAACTGGTTACACCAACAGTTCTGAGCATCAAATATGGATGAGAGAAACTTAAAGAAGAACCAAAATGGCTAATAGAAAAAGCTATCTCCCCTTAACGACAATCTCATCCGGCACATATATGCGATAACTAACGAATTGTCTTGTACAAACAATAGAGGAATCAGACATCGGGAATGTAACCAACCATGAATTCATGTAAAATAGTAGACCGATAAGAAAATCAAATTAAAAAATCTGTTTCGGAAGTCCATAAACACCAATAGCTATGATCTTTATCAAAAAGGATCAAGAGAAACATTATTATTAAACTAAGTTAAAACTAATAACGAAAAACTAATAAAATAAAGAACGAACGGGAAAATGAAGCAGGAGGACAGGGAGGTGACTGTGAACGGCCACCACCGCTGTCTCAAAATAAGACTTTGAAAAACTGCCGCTGCAAAAAATTAACCACCGCAGAGAAGAAATTGAGAGTGAGAAGTGGGTAAAGTCAAATTATTTAAATTTTTATTTTTACATTAAATAAAAATGTAGAAATAAAAAAACGTAAATAAAAATGCAAAGAAAATAATACAACATTAAATATGTATTTCTACATTTTACAACTAAAAATGTAGGGAGGGGGACGTAAAGGAAAAAAAGAAGAAAGATGTTGTGACAAACATGTGAAGAGCACTAATAGGACAAGCAAGAGCCGAATCAATCTCAATAATTAACTTTTGGGTAAACTACAAGTTTAATGCTCTAACTATTGTTTTTCTCCTATTTTAGTAAATAAATTATTTTTTAAATTACGTCTAACGTTATGTTTTGATTTTATTTTAGTCATTCACCTTCAAAGATTAACAAAACTACTGACATGATATTTTTAAAAATATTTAATTATAGCGTGATGTTATTTTATAGTATGTGACCAAAAGGAAATCAAAGTATAATGTTAAATATATTTTTAAAATAAAAAAATACTTGTATGACTAAAACAGAAGAAAAATGATAATTGGATACTAAACGTGTAGTTTGCCCTTAACTTTTTACTTCCTCGGAGGAAGGTCGGGCACTCTCTCAGACTTTCTAAAAGCCTTAGTCCCAAAAACCAAGAACCCGATCACATGTCCAAAAATGGCAGCGAGGAAAACGCCGCCGTTAAACGACATGACAGCCAGCATCACCATATAACTCAACCCTGCACGCGCCGTGTGCATCGCCGTCTGAAAGAATCCGGCGGCGACATTATTGGCCCCGGGCTTTATGATGCTGCAATAAGATAGCCATTCCACCACCATTGCCAACACAAATACGAAGATGAGGGCCAGAGCATACATGCCGGAGCTGCAACCGGGCCAACCCGAGAAGAGAATTTCAGATTTATGGCCCCAGTAGAAACTCATATGAAAGAGTGAGTTCTTCCGATGAACGTGGAGCTCCGAGGTGTTGTTCCAAGCCGACGTCGTTTCAGCCATGTTCTTCGTCTTCATTCAATTGGTTTGGTTGTAGTTTTTGTGATGGGATTTTAAAGACGACTAGTTTGGTATCTCTTGAAAAACTCGTTTGAAAGCAATCCCAAATGGAACTTCCATTTTCCAACTTCACACGGACCCAATGACCGTCACAGCAGAGATTTTCAGATTTTATTCTCTTTTTCTTAATAAGTTATTAACTACTTTATTTATTTATCCTACTATTCTTTTTTTCGTGGAAAAATATCTGGCTCTGATTTTATTGCGCGTTTGATTGGGGAACATGAGATTTCAATGGTAATATAATTTACATTTTCTGTTTGGTTAGCATAAGAATTACATTCTCGGTAATGTAAGATTATCAATTGTAGATATTTTGGGTATATTACCGAGAATGTCAATATTTTCCTTTCTTTAGGTATTGTTGGATTACCGACGTTTTAGACTAAAATGCCCTTAATTTTTTTTTTCAAAAATATCATTCTTCTGGCATTGAATAATAAAAATTCTACGTAGGTTAAATTATAAATTTATCCTTAAACTATTTTAGATTTACAAAAAGAAGTCTATAATTAAAATTTTATATGAAGTTCAGGGGTTAAAATAAAATTTTACCCTTTCATTAAACCTTTTTATATTTTCAATTTTGTAAAAAAATATATAAATAGTTTCCAACTTGTTAAAAAAGTATATATATAATAAGGACAATTTGGTTAAATATACATTTCAATAATATTTTATTACTTTAACCAAACACAATAATCTTACATTCCTGCTAAACCAATCAAACAAAAAATACAACATTCCAGTAATCCTATTTCCTGGCAATCTTACATTCCCACTGGTAATCTTACATTCCGTGAACCAAACGCATTGGATTCCTCGATTTTCTTATGAAAGGAAACCTATAAATTTGGTTTTGTTTTGGTCACTTATCACTAAAAATAGTAATAATGATGTTCACTTGTTATTAAAAAATAATATCACAAATTTGTTACATCGATAATTATGTTTATATTTTGACGGCAAGTGACCAAAATATAATGTTAGATATGATTCTAAAAAAATAATTAACTGACCAAAACGAACCACAAAAATAAATAGGTGGATTAAATATGTAATTTACCCCCTTTTCTCTTCTACGGAGAACTAACTGCCTCTAGGGGTGAGCATTCGATCGAGTCAAGTCAAGATAAAAAAACTTCGAGTTATTCGAACTGACGAGTTGTATTTTACAACTCAAACTTAATTTGAAATTTTTTCGAGTCGAGTTTAAGAAATTTGAATCGAGTTATTCGAGTTTCTATATTAATTTTAGTATAACTATTTATATTATTATGGTAAGAATTGGTTACAATTTTTCGACTTTCTCTAACCATATAAGGTATATATTTTATATTCCTTTCACGTTATAATGTTATTAAATATATCAAATATAATCCAAAATTATAAGCTATATTCACAATATTATATTTTAAAGAAAATATTTTGAGGGTAAAATATTGATGATAATATAAAAGAGTCAAGAAATTGATAGGAAGAATAATTGTAGTCAAAAGGCTAAATTGAGTAAAATGTAAAGTTAATTGACTAAATAAAAGAGAGAGAGCAATTTTTTAGTAAAAAAAAAATAAGTACTGAAGTTACATATGTATTTTATAATGGTATATGAGCATGTGGTACAAATTTTGTAAAAGAAATGGCTTAAAATAAAGGTTGAATTGAAGAATTTAGGAAATTATGAGAAATTGAGGGAATAAATTGAAAAATAGAAAACTTGTCATCATAAAGATAATTGAAATCATATAGGAATTCTAAGATGGTTTAGGACTGTGAGTTTTAAATTTGGTAAAAAATGGACTTACAATGAAGGAAGAATGGAAGGAACAGTGAAATTACGATTAAATCGTAAAACTGTCAAAATACTTAATCAAATATTTGATTTTTTGAGTAATTCAGAATTTTTTTTTTAAAAAAAAGAGGTTATGTATGGTTTTATTTATATATAAAAACATACAAAACATGCGCAACCATGAACTTCCTTGAAAACCCCCTAAATTTAGATAGATAGAAAACAGTCACAACAAATCACCATAACACTACCAGATTCAACAAACAAAAAACCTGTTATATAAGCAATCCTCGCAACATGCCATGAACCATGTATCACATGTACTATATTTCAACGTGAAAACCATAAAGAAATACCCAACTTACCTTAGCAAATATACTCACCTAAACAAAAACAGCTTGCAGCCGAGTAGCCAATCGTATCATGTTCATGAGAGAAAACGATGGGCACCTGATGAATTCTTATATAACCAAATCGTCCAAATCAGACCAAAGAAGCTCATATTCCAGATTGGTTTGGTTTTCCTATGAATCTGCTGGTTATTCTATACAGTAAGCGTTGCTTTCACGCTCTCCAAAAACACAATATTCAACTTCCATATATGGCACCAATGCTGCTAAACCCTCCACAAAATCTCACAATAACAGAGCATATGATTAATTGTTCTATGTTTCACAAAACGCACAGATTTGAATCCAACAGAGCTACACCACACTTCGATAATTCCAACAACGACCGGAGTCTTTGATAGACAGCCTTCCAAACGAAAGTTTTAACTTTGTACTGGGCAATGTTCGCCCACACAACTTTCCAAATATTGTCTTCGCTTAAACCTTCGCAAGATGCACTCACACAATAGATTTTCGGAGTATATAATCCATTGGGAGCCCCAGACCACTGCAATCGAGCTGCCCTTAAAGGACATCGAACAGGTCTGTTGATAACGTTTATAAACTTTTTCCAAAGACCAACTTCCCTGTCAAAAAATGACCTCATCTCAATTCTTCACTCCCAAACCTCATTCACCAACACACTGAATTCCCTTACTTTACCACTCTTTCGAATAGCGATCTAGAAAATTCTATGGAAAGCCACTTCAAAGATGGGACCTCCGTCAGAAATCTTCCCAGAACACAATCCTGAAACCATCACCCACAATGCATCTCTCATAAGCTACAAAGACGTCATCATCCTTAAGCATGGGGCCAGTAGTATTTCTCCATATCCATGAGTATTTCCTAATATGAATTTGACTTGGTAACAATACGTCACTATCGAAACCATACTTTGCTACAATTACTTATTTTTTCACAAACATCCAAACTTGATTCTGAACCTCTAAAGTCATTTATTTAGAAGCGATCCATTCTTTATTCTTACATCAAAGAAGCCTAGCCCTCCAAAAGAAACTGACTTGTATATGTTCTCCCACTTGACCCAATGTATAGAGTCTACCACCGTTCTATCCCCATACAAAATTGGTGATACATTTATTCAATTTATTAGCAACCGTTTTAGGCATGAGGAACAAAGAGAGGTAGTACACTGGTAAATTTGAAAGAACGAATTTTACAAGAGTTATTCGAGCCCTGAAGGATAATAACCTTCCCTTCCAACCATCCAATCGAGCTTGAAATTTCTCAACAATGGGTTGTGTTGCGTGTGTGAGTGTACTATAATATGGCACATAAAGATGTATACAATCGAACAAGTAATATAATAATGAAATAGTATTGTCTCCATAGAGATTGGAGGAATTTCCAAGTTAAGTTTGTAACACCCCAACCCGTATCCGACCCGGATCCGAGTCTGATGTGTCACATTAACTTTTAAACCTTTACTGGTTCAAAATAATGAAAAATTCCCATTAAAGAAAACTTCATATTATTTCAAAATAAAAGTTTTCACACTTATCAGAGCATACACAATTCAAATTGTTTATATTACATACCAACTACATCTAAAAGAATAAAATGCATATCAAACATTTCTTTTTTGATCTGAACTTTGTAAGGAAGATGCTGACCTGTCTTGCTCCTCTCAGCTTCTATATTCACTTTTTGTAACCTGCGTGTGAAAAACTCACACGCTAAGTCGACGACTTAGTGAGGCATAAAAGATATAATAGAACTCTAATGCGCGATCATGCATGAACAATTTCTACTAACATATTATATACAAGCATAATACACACACACACACACATATATATATACACTTCATATCATCTCATACATTCTTTTCATTTATATCTCTTATCTCTTTACTCCTATAGTCTCTTACATTCATATTCTATATCTCATAACAGATTCTTATATCATCCCATAAGTCATTTATATTCATTCACATATACATTAACATACATTCATATATATCATGTAACAGATGCAATCACCCATAACATACATATATCATATAATACAATTCATATTACACATCATATATATATATATATATATTTCATACGTTGTATTCAAAGTTATCCCTTTATTAGCCCATGTACACATGTGAGAACTATAGATATGTGAGTCTATAGAGGTTGTGCACTAATGTTGTCACCACAGCTCGTATAAATGCACCGAAGTGCCACGTAGAATTGCACCGTAGTGCCACGTAGAATTGCACCGTAGTGCCATACAAGATTGTCCCTAAGGACCACGTAGAAAATTCTTTAAGAATCATATACATATGCCAAGGATCAAGTATGTGTCTCAAAAGACCTCACACATGTTCCAAAGAATACATATATGTCCCAAAGGACCTCGTAGACCCTCGACTCTTGGCATGCCAACTATACCTCTAGCTCTCATGTCACACAACATGGGCATTAATATTTATGTTATCATACATTCACATATACACATAGTCTCATAGTTCTTTCACATAGCTCATTGTCATATAAATCACATATCACATATACATATAGACACATGGTTCACTTACGCGTAGCACATTTTCCTATGATTCACATATCACAAATCTTATCACATATAATTGTATTCTTTTTCATATAATCACATAGTCATATAATATTTCATATGATCTCATAGGTCATATCACATAGATACGTATTCAATACTCATAGTCACATATCTTATCTTTTGTTATAATAAGTTCATATTTATCATTTAACACATAGATTCTTATTGCATATTTTATATCATATTCTTATACCACTAATTCATAATATAGTTTAGGTCAATGTCGCTTAACTTATTTTGCTCGTTCACTTATTTATATAATTTCATT